TTCTAACAACCGTGAGTCCAAAGAAGAGAAATATGCGGCAAAGATCACAGCCCAAACCAGTCTTGTCTGGACAATTCACAGTAATCATACTGGGTTCTCCTTCTTTCTCTGACTGCCTAATTATCACTAAATCATCATACAAAATTCCCATCTCTCCCACCTCTTTTTGCTCCTCTTCTTTAATAATCAACCAAACAGACTGAATCTTTATCAAAGCATATACCAAAAGTTCTCAGCTTTAATATACAAACAAAGTGGGTTTTGTTCATTAAAGAAAGTGGAAAGTTTTTGGTCTGATTTTTTTACATTTTCTTTACTGTATATGTACATCAGGAGAGACAAGGTAGTCTTCAGTGACAATGTACCTGTAGCAAACTCTGTGTTGAAAGCGATACGATTTGCAAGCTGGTATTTCTTGACTCTTGTGAATCACTTCTGAATTTTTTCCAGGCTTTTAGCCCTTGACATTTTTTTTTTTTATTCTTATTCTCATTTTTTCACTTTTTTCATTTCAACCACACATTCTATCAATAAAATAATATTACACATAAATCCAAAAATTTTTCTTACTTTTTAACCACACATTATTCCATTAATCACTATTTCAAATCAAAATCTTTCCATAAAATAGGTGTCAAACAAGGACTTAGTTTGATGAACGGTCAACAACTTGGGTGAGGGTAGGCGTGGGTTGGGGATTGGGATGAGATTGTGTCATTCGTGGATTATTGTTGGTGACTTGGTGCACGGGACGGATTTCACAAAACGTCTTCACAACACACACAAGAGGTGGCCCCCATGTGGGACTCACCTCATAAAAAATTCAAACTCCAACCCCCCTACTACCGTGTGTGTTCTGGAAGGGTTATGTGAAATCCCTTCTGTGCATCAAGAATAATATGTCGTTCATTTGTCTATCTTATGATGAGATTCAAACATGTGTGAGAACTGTGAGAAGGACTTCTATGTTTTTGCAAGTCTTCACGGGCATGAGATAGTATTAAGGAGAATATATTTTGAATTTCGCTACGTGTACATGAACAAAATGTACCACATAATATGATGTGGAGCAAAAAAATAAAAAAAAAGAACGAAAAAGGTTGATTGTGTTTTAAGGAAAATGTTTATTATACATAACTATTTACATAATAATGAGATGTCAAAATGTAAATGTAGAACTTATTTGATTGATGAGATTTTGATCCAATTAAATTTCGTCACATCATCTGTTATGTACATTTAGCACAATTCATGTTCTAAACTGGCAAATGATAGAAAGTCAAAGGTATCATATAATCCATTATGTATAAAGAAAAAAATCCTCGCATTTTTATTTTATTGTCATTAACCCATGTTATATAAACAACACAATTTAAGTGGTAAAGAAATTTTGATATTTTTAATTTAATTTATGACACACCGTCAATATTTTGAAAATCGGACCGAACATTGACCCAAAAAAAAAAAAGGGTCAAAGGGTCTAATCAAAGTTAAACCAGGGTTGACCCGAAAATTAAAGTAATTACTTATTACTTTAAAAAAAAAATTAATAATAAGCTCCATATGGACCTGACCATGGACCTGACCAAGTATCTGTGTCTCAACCGTCTTTCTACTCTATTCTTTTTTTTTTTTTTTTTGACAGCTTTCTCCATTTTTACATGGCAGCTTCTTCTTCCTCATGTTTTCCTGGCGATTTATAAATGGTGATGCTCAAGTATTTTCCTAAAGTTTATTGGTGGAAATTATAATATGCACGATTGGAATGCATTCTTAAAAATTAGGTCCAAACGAGGATGAAGGTATAGTAACCTTTTTGAGGAATGCTCTCCCCATTGATCTCACATTATAAACCTTGATTATGCTTTGCAATTTCAAATAATCTTAGTATTTCATAGTATTGTAAAATAATTATGCTCAATTTCATTTTCTATTGTCTCTATATGACGAATCATGCGACATTTTTAACAATTAGTCAAAGTTGAACGTGCACTGCAAGTTATTTAAAATACTTTATAAGTGTTTTAAAAGTAATATTTGATATTAATTTGCTGGGAAGATTTGATGAGTGTCAAACGAATTAAATATATATATATATATATATAATTTAGTATATGAATTTAAGAGAAGAAAATTATAATCTCAAAACTTAATTTTTATGATTCAAATTTTTTGTGATGATGAAATACTACAAATGAACAACATTTTTATATTACATTTGGTACATAAAAATTAATTGTTACAACATGAATTTAAACTTCATAGATACATGAATAGAAATAAATACATATATAATAACTCTAGATTCATGTAAATCAATGTGAATGTTAATTAATACCCCGTTTGGCCCCCATTAATTTATAATACATAACACATTTTTTTCTCTTTTCTTTTTAACCACACATTTTTCAATAAAATAATATTACGCTTACGCATAAGTCAAAAAAAATTCATTCTTTTTCAACCGCATATCCTCCAAAAAAATATCATCTCTCACATTATAAATTGAAATAATAGAGCCCAAATAGGAGATTTTGTTAGGGGACACAATGTGGCTCCCCCACTCGGGCGGCCAGTGGCTTGACCCGAGAAAAGCTCGAGCCGGGCTCTGGCCGTCCGTGACGCAAGCCATTTTCGATCCATAACGAGTCGAGCCTAATAAAAATAGTAGCCTACAGAACTTTAAAAAATAAAAATAATAAGAAGTTGACAAGCTACCTTGTCAAGGCAACTATACTGCCTGCAACACGTAGTTGCATGCATGCTACATGTAGCTTGTCTTGTACATATTATATTTCAAAATTTAAATTGATTAGTTTCAAAAACGAATACGCAATTTTAAAATTTATTTGTTTTAAAAAAAATTGTATACGAAATATTTTATTCGTATATAATTTTAACTCTACTTTTCAAGCCTTAAAAAATGAGGAGGGTTCTAACTTTTACTAATTTATAATTCGTATGAATTGCACAAATATAAAAAAAATTAAAAATTTTAAATGTCATAAATTAAACCCAAAAAAAAAAAAAAAGTGAGTCGACTCGGCTCGACTCGGACAAAAAAAGAGTCCAAACCATTTTTACTTGAGTCGAGCCCGAACTTTAAGTTTCAGCTTGGCTCATTGACAACCCTGGATTTTGTAATATTTATTACATTTTGAAAAACGAAAGTAAGATATTATTGAAATAATTGAATTATAGTATAGTTAAAATTGTCCAAAAAATGATTCTCACTTAGTATAATATTTATATAGGGTAATTATATTACCATTACAAATTTTACTAAGTGCATCACGATTTTTAATATTTTTCTTATTTACTTAAATAATCTTAAGTAAAGTTACATAATTAGGGTTTTAATATACTTTTTGGTAAAATAAATTATTATTCCACTACAAAAATAAACCTAATTTTCCCTAACTTCCATTCAAACGACACTATATCCAGAAAGCGAGAGTTGGAATCTTTTTCTGCCTTTTTTTCTCATATGGCTGCATTAGGTTTATAGTGTGTGATGAAAGTGATGTATTTGTTACCAATAACAATGATAATATGGCACAAATACGACCTTACTACATGTAACATTTGATTTACACTTTGGTTCTCATCCCCTCCCTCACATGAGAGTCGGGTCCTACCATTTATTGGATGTGGGACCCGACCCCCGTAAAATGGAGGACGTGGGGTCGCGTAAATCAAAGTGTAAATCAAATTGTGCAAATAGCTTAATTCGCACAAATATTAGCTGCTTGTTTTATGTATGTATAACATCTTGTGGAATTTATTGTCTTAGAGTGCTCACTAATGAATCTATACCTCTTCATTATAGTAGATACTTTGGACACAAAACTACCATCCGCCCTAATGCTAAGAAGTTGTACTGAATGTCCTTAAACCTAGATAAGATGACTTGGGGAGAATTTGCCTCCAAAGTTCGTACGTTTCAGAGAGGCTTCATGGGGGAGCCAAACGAGGTAAGACGAGGCGGGGGCAAGTTTCACGAAAATCCATCTTTCTGTCTTTGCGAAGATCTTGTGGCCATACCAAAGATGGACATGCATCGCTAAAGTGCGAAAAAGGATATATCACTACTAAGAAAGATGAAGATATGACATGTGAAAGTCAAGATATGGATGATGACATAGAATGGTTTGATCTTGAAGACGATGAAAATTCAAGTAAGAAGCAAGAAAATGATGAGAAAAATGAGTGATATTGGATGATGTGTACACCACAATTTTTTTTTTCATTTTTAGTTTTTATTGGATTAAGAGTATATTGTAAATTTATTGTGGTGTATTTATTAAAATTATATTTTAATTGTGGTATACTAAGTAAATTTTGTGGTGGTAATATAATTACCAATTTAAATATTATAGATGATCTTGTCCAGAAGTTTTCCAAGCCCATGTTTGCTTTAGTTAAAAAATTGATAAAAATTTAAATCAAAAAAAGCTGTGGATGGTCCGCTCACAACACTTATCTCACTTGCTATCGATACTTTTTTTTTTCCAAATACCTTCAAAATTGTAAGGCATTTGCTCGCCATCATGTATTTAGATTTTTTTTTTAATTATATATTTTATAAAATTCACAATTATTATCAACTTTTTAAAAATATATTTTTATCAAAATTTAGGCTTATTGCCTAACCAAATTTTCTTCACAATTAAAAAATAAAAATAAA